AACGTGAACGTTCACACAAAAAGATCGGATTTTTTCAAAAAATCAGAACTGAGCATTAAGACCTGCAGTGTGAACGTAGCCACAAATCCCTTTAAAAGCCCTGCTCCAGCACTCTTACATTTTACTTTGTACTGATCTTTTAAAGTCCTGGATCAGTAGTTCTTCAGGGTTTCTGAAGGTCTCGTTGTCTGTGTTTTTGTGTTTGCAGGTTCGTCAGGCTCTGCGTCAGCAACAGGAGGAAGGAGGAAACTGTCAGCAGCACTCAGGCAGCGACCGCAGCGCCACGGCTGAACTGCTGCGTATCAAAGACCATCTCATAGACGTAGAAAAGAATGTAAGATTTATTCTAATAAAAGTACTCAGCTGACACTAGTTTGCCTTTTTTATTCTAATTTTTGTGGTATTTCTGCAGAATGCTTCCCTCCACACGGAGAGCAGTTTATTGAAAGAGCAGCTCAGACAGCTGGAGAGCCAAAACACGTCTCTGAACAACCAGATGGCGGCGCTGCAGCGGCACACGAGCACGCTGCAGGAGCAGAATTCAACTTTGCACACACAGACGGCCAAGCTGCAGGTGCTGCTCAGTTTCTGACAGGTCCTATTCGTTCAGACCCTTTTTACTGATTCCACCRTGTCTCAGGTGGAGAACTCCACCATCTCCTCCCAGAGCGCCTCTCTCATGGCCCAGAACGCAGTGCTGCAGGGCCAGGTCACCGCCCTGGAGACGGAGGCGGAGTCGTGGCAGCGGCAGCGCGACGAGGCGTGGCGAGCCCGGGAGAGCACGCTCAGCGACCACGAGCGCCTGCTGAGCGTGCACGAGAGGCAAGCTCAGGAGTACGAGCAGCTCATCAGTCAGCACGCGGCGCTGAAAGGCAAACAGAGGGCGCTGGAGAGCGARCACAGAGCGCTGCACGGCAAGTGAGTGAAAAGTTGCTTCACGCTAAGATTCAGAAGAAAAACAACAAAGATTTAGTCTCTAACAGTGTTGTATAAAGTACCACATCGTGATACTTGAGTTAAAGTACAAGTATCTGACCAAAAATTACTCTGGTAAAAGTTAAACTCCCATTTAGTAATATTAATTGAGTAAAAGTCTTAAAGTATGTGATATTTTTTTGTACTTGAGTAAAAGTATTGATTTAAAATGAGCAGTTAGATTTTCTGTAAGGACATTTATTAGGAGGTGACCTCCCCAAAAACTGCAGAAATGACTTTATTGTATTAAAATAATTAATTWATGTTAAATTTAGGATGCAYYAGTCCAGCTGTTTCAGTTTATATACATATATCAAGGCTGCACAAAGCTTTTCCCCAAAATGAAAATCTATCTGAGGGCTGCGGCCAAATGTAATAATATAATTCATGAAATACAAATACTTCTTAAGTACAGTCCTTTGATTTGAATGATTATGTCCTGCTGGAGTGTGACATGATTTGTTTGTGTACAAACTAATACACTATCAGAGTTTTATATATTTATACTTCTCATTCAACCACAGTTAAATTCACTCTGTCTATGAGGCACAGTTTATATGGATAGTATTTATTTTTTACAATAACAAGCTGGGATGAAAACAAGTAAAAATTAAATAAAAGTAACGACTTTCTACTTYTTGCCTTTTTAAAAATGTAAGAARTAGAAGTAAAATGTAGGCTGAAAAATAATTACTCAAGTAAAGTACAGATACCCAAAAATTCAACTTTACTTTAACAAAGTATTTGTACTTAGTTACTTTACAACTCTGCTCACTGACTCACCTCACTGCATCAGCTACAGAAATGTAATGTCTTCATGCAGGTACTGCACGTTGCTGCAGCTAAAGGAGAAGTGGGAGGAGCATGAGGGGCGTGGCCAGAAAGAAAAGGAGGAGCTAAGTCAGGAGATCCAGAAGAACAGACTCTTACAGCAGGAGAATCTGCAGCTAAAAACAGAAGTGGACAGGTACCAAATCCAAACTGATCAGTTTACAGTTTTACATTTTCTGCCAGTAAGAACTTTATTTTCAAACATCTCAAACCTGAACGAAGCTTTTTTCTCCTCAGGCTGACCCAGAGCCAGTCCCARCACTCAGAGCAGAACGAGGGGCTCCATCAGCGCATAAACGAACTGAAAAGCTCGTTAAGTTCAACTMAGCTGGACGTGAGTCAGTGGGTGGCCCGCTATGATTCTCTAATGGAGCAGCACCAGAACCTGGACCTCACCATGACCAAACTGGACAACCACTGCGAGGTAAACAAGACCTCTGTTCTTAAACAAACAGCTGGAGCACCGGAGTGTTGGACCTTAAAACACATGTGTGTCCTTAGCTTCTGAGTCGACTAAAAGGGAACCTGGAGGAGGAGAACCACCATCTGCTGAGTCAGATCAACCTGCTGAGTCAACAGAACCACACTCTGCTGGAGAGGAGCATGGAGAGCAAGGAGCTGTACCACCAGGAGCAGAAATTATACATGTAACCACGTGCAGCACAACACACCTGTTCTGTTCCAACACATGAACTCAGATATCAAAACAAAAACACAAGATAATTGAACCGTTCTGTGACCTTCAGCTCTTCTGTTCTTTTCTGTAGTGATAAACTGAATTCTCTTCGTCGACAAAAAGAAAAACTCGAGGAGAAAATCATGGACCAGTACAAGTTCTACGACCCTGCACCCAAAAAGTAAGACTGCTTTTCCTAAAATACGGCCTCTTCCATGCTCATGACCACTGAACTTGTTTGCTGGACTGTTTGTGTTCAGGAGGAGTCAGTGGTCCGGAGCCAAAGCTTTGGTCAAGCTGATAAAACCCCGGAAGGAGAGCAGCCGGGAGCGAGGAGGCGACCGAGACAAGGAGGCCGACAAAGTCCGAGAGAGAGCGAAGAGCGCTCCGGACATCCCCCTGCCCGCCACGCCCCCCCTGCTGCCGCCAGAGACGCCGCCGCCCGTTCCCAAACGCACAGGAATTGACTCCCACAGCAACAACAGCACCAGCCCCAGCCTGGGACCACAGAGTCCAGCTCTGACCCCGATCAGCAGAGGTAAACACACACACATACCACAGGACACGTCTGCAGGAGGCTTTTTTACCGTTTTATTATTTTATACAGAAATAAAACCTCAAAGAAAAGCTTTAAAAAAACTATCTCTGATGCAGCTCCAAGAAAATCCTCTAGAGGGTGCCGTTGATCTTTAGACATGAATAACAGACAGTAAAATACATCTACTACAGTAAAACATGTTTAAATCAGAGTAAATAATGATAAAAAAATCTTCTTAAACAGGTTTTACTTATTTCCTTTCTGAACAGCTTCTAGTTTTAAGTAAAACATTTAATAATAATAATTCCCATGATTGTAAATAAACCTATGAAATATTACATCTCACAACACACAACAGTGTAAAACTAAATAGATTCATCTTTTCACAAATTACTAATATATAGAAAACATCAAAAACAGAAATACGCCAACAATAAGATAAAAAACAAGTGGCTAAAATGTTTGTTTTTATTCTTTAAATGTTGAGTAAAAACTGAACAAACAAACGTCCTGATTGAAGCATCGATCGATGATGTTTGGAGTTTGTTGTACGACTTTTACTCAGTTTGAAACAATCKTCGTTGCATCAAAATCATCCACAACTCTTGTTTTGTGTTGTTGTGTGATGAATTGTTTGGAGATTAGTTCTTTTTGTCAAAATAATCAGAACCAGAGCAAATTTCCTGTTTTTTAACAAATGGTTTTACAGTGTTGAGCGTCCAGCTGGTCCAACCTGCAGGTCAGAGCTGTAATTATGAAGCTGTTTATCTTTTACTCTGTGCACAGTTTAATATCGTGCACTTGTGACCTCTAGGTTGGATGTGTTTTCAGAGAAAACTGTCTGAAAAAGAGGAAACCCCCCTTTTAGCTGAACAGCAGCAGAGCTGTCTGTGCAAAAGTTTTGATCCAGCTTCGATTTGTTTACCTTTTTTTACCGAGCAGAAAGATTATTTTATATACTTAGCACAAAAAGTAACAAAATAATTATTTCTTTGTTGCAACAATGCTTCTTGGCAATAAATCTTATACCAGGCACCTAATTGGCAGCAGCTGGGGGACCAGAAGCTCAAAACAAGTGTCAACAACAACAAAATAAGTTGTTTGACCGAGAAGAGTTGGCAATCCACACTCAGCTCTACTGCTCATCCCACATATGCATGTTCCTTACAAATGTGGCGCCATTTAAAAGGGAAATTAACAGGCTTTCCAGCAGACGCATTGTTACAATGAAATCATCTACCAAACACACATTTCCTTACTTTTTATGCTAGTTTATTTTAAATTCCACTCAGTTTAATCAARTATCTTTAAAGTGCCTGTAACATCAAATTTTTGTGATAAACGTGATTGCACTTTTGGAAAGATAACATTGATAACATATTGCAAAAGCAGTTTCACACCACTGAGATRAACGGTTCTTAAGATGTTTGCATGTGAAGTAACAGGAAGTGATGTCAAAGGGGAATGTTTGCRTGTAAACAGAGCATTGCTACAATGGCTGTAACACAGACAGCAGGGAATTTTCTGATGTTTCTTTAGATAATTTTAATCCCTGTAAGAGAGAGATGAAGAAAAGTCAGAGTTCAAATAATATTGTTTTCATAAACAAAGACCAGGGAGTTTACTTTGTKAAAGAGATCCCCTTTGATGTCACTTCCTGTTTCACTTTGGCTGAGCCAAATTCAAAGGAAAATATGCCAGTTCTGTGACAAAATGGATTAAATCATGTGTTTTATGCCAGTTTTCCTAAATATGAAGAAATTTTCTTTGACTTTTTGTATTTGAAGTATGGGCACGTCACAGTTACAAGGTTACAAGAAAGTCTGATAATATAAAGAAATATTAGAGGGATTAAATATTTTCACATTAATCAAAACAAGTAGAACTACATGTTCGTCATCATCGTTATTCTGTTTTCATTTTCTGTTATTAGTTTGTCTCGACTCACTCAGTTTAACAAGTGACAGCACAGCTAAAACAAATAATCATCTAAAGATGGACAAACTGATGTTTTAAATAAAGCGACAGAAAACTGAACTGTGGATCCAGTCATGGTTTTGATGATGATAAAAACTGTAAAAAGACTCGATGCACAGATCAGTTTCTCCAGTAAATCATCTGCTCTGATCACATCGATTTAGAATCAACTTTTTATGTTTAGAAATTAGTTTCACAATCAGCAAATCCTCTCAGAAAACTTCACWAACAATGTCTGCAGGATTTTATAAGTTTTATCCTTTTAAGTCGTTCCTGCAGGCGAAAATGGTAAATATTATGCATTTTGCCCAAATGTGACTCACTTCTGCGTTTTTTTGTTCTATGGTGGAGTTTTGTTTCCTACAGTAAGATGAACTCTTTTTGTGGACAGATACGTTTGCTTTTCAGGAAACTCACAGAAGTTTAGATTTGAGTCTGACTGAATGTTTCTGGATGAAGAATTCATCCTGCAGAGATGATCCTTCAGCTGCTGCCGGACGAATGAAAACCTAAGTTTTCAGCATCAAGTCCTCAAAGATGAGCTGAAACTAACTGTTGGCATCAGAAAACTGATTTTACTGCATCTTTTTCCTGATTGGTCTTTAATTATCTGAGAACTAACCCCTCTTTTTGTTAAACTTTAACTGCAGTGTGAGTTGAGGGTCTGTTTTATTCTCATCGGTTCTCTTTCATGTTCTCTGTTGGGATTAATTCATTCATCAATAACTTCTAATCCAAATCTTGGTGTTTTCTTGGTGTCATTTTTTCATTTTCTTCTCTTCCTCTCATTCCTGTCCATTTCTCAGCTCCTCCCGCTCCCAAACGTTTACGTTTTCTCCGCAGTAAAAGTCAAGACAAGCTCCTCCCCCCTTCCTCCTCCTCCTCCTCCTCCTCCCGCCCCTCCCTCTCTCTCACCAGACGCCTGCGGTTTTGGTCTTCTTCTGACATCGCGGCTGAAGTCATCAACAGCTCTCCAGTCTCTGCCAACGGAGTTTTCTAATGTGCCCTGTCCTCTTCATCATCATCATCACATCACATCAAACACACACACATACACACACACAAGCAGCTGCATGTTGCTGGACACTTTTAATAGTAAGTAGTTTGTGTGTGAGCGTGCTCCCTCACAGCGGCCTGGTTTTTCTCGCTGACGTTCTGTTTTCAAGTCACCTCTCAGAGACGAGATGTTTGCTTCGCTGCAGTTTCCTCTGGTCGCCACACTAACCTCACTGCTGTTTCAAACCTGTTTGCTGCTGCAGCGCCGCCGCCCTCCTCCTCCTCCTTCTCCTCCTCCTCACGATGCTTCATTTCATCATGACAAACAAAACCTGACTCCTAATGTCTGTCACGTGATAGAAAATGTTCAGCTAACAAACCAGTGTAATGGAAAAGATTTCAAACGGATATGGCTCAATCAGCCGAAGCTTAGAGCTCACGTAGGGGATGAGGCTCAGCTACTACCACACCACATTTGAGCTCGTCGTCTGTATAATTGGTTGAGGTATTTAGGATTTTTTTAACGCTCGGCTTTGCTTGGTAAGCGATGCTCGCGGTCACAGCCGGTTCTGGTCCTGCACCCTCACTGCTTACATCACCGTCACGCCATCGCAGAGCGGCCCCCTAAATGCTTTCTGATTGGCCCACAGGATTGACTGACAGGAGCCGGGGCGTTTACCACAGTGGCACTCCAGGAGGCAGCAACGAAAGCATCAACGGAGAAGATGGACAAGGTAACCCAAGAGTTAAAGGTTCAAACCAGTGCTGGGCGGTATATCGGTTCGTGACGAATACCATTTTTTATTTTTGTTATGAATTTTCTGAATACCGGACAAACCGGTTTAATATACCAGGTCGTCATTGTAAGTGAGAATTGTTTCTCAACTGACTTACCTGTTAAAATAAAGGTTATATATATTTAAATAGTCTGAACACGTGCAGAACGTTTCATCGCGGCCGCCAGTGAACTGTTTCCCAGGGGACACTTTTCCTCGCAGCACTGCTATGTGCGTTAGCGTGCTAATGTTATTGTTGAGCAGCTTGTTGACGGCAGGTGGCGATTCTGCTGCTTATATTAACTGAAAAAAAAAATCCAGTTTTTGCCATTGCTGAATGTAGTAAACACCTCTTCAGTGACGCGCACGGTTAGATTTAACATGTGACACTAATATGGAGACGTTAATGCGTAGAGACTATCGTGTTTCTATTGTGAAAAGCCCAGGAAGTAGTTTGTAGAGGAATTGATTTGACTGGGGTGCAAGGTGAGTCGTCCTGTTAAAGTGCCTGTGACATCAAATTTTTGTAATAAATATGAATGCACTTTTTGGAAAGATAACACTAATAACTTATTACAACAAACATTTCATTCCACTGAGATGAACAGGTTTTCAGATACTCACATGTAAAGTAACAGGAAGTGATGTCAAAGCAGAATGTCTGAATGTAAACAGAGCATTACTACAATGGATAGACAGTAGGAAAATCTGTTTCTTTAGATTATTTTAAGTCTCTATCAGAGATAAATAAATGTCAGAGTTAAAACAATATTGTTTTAATAATCAAAGACCAGAGAATTAGATTTCTTAAAGAGATCCCCTTTGATGTCACTTCCTGTTTGTTTCGTCCAAGCCAAGTTACAAAGAAAATATGTAGTTATGTGACAAAATGAATAAAATTGTTTAAGCCAAGTTTAATAAACATAAAGCTTTTTTCTGTGACTTTTTTGTATTTGAAGGATATGCATGTCACAGGCACTTTAAGTTTTATTAAATAACATAAAACAATAGACCCCATAATGATCTTTTCTCAACCCTCCTCCTTCACGACCGGATTAAAATGCATGACTACTGTCTCCAACCAGACAGAGAAAAAAAGACACACAGAGGAGGGAAACAGCAACACAGAGGTACAGTAAAAGAAAAAGGTCAATAAGCAGTGTTTGTACATTTTATTATCAGCTGACCTGTGACGAAAACAAAAATACCGTGATATATTGTGAAATCGGTGTAAATGTTGAAAACATCGTGATATAAAATTTGGGTCATACCGCCCAGCTCTAGTTCAAACATTTCATATGGTATAAGATCTTCATAAAAAGAATGAGCTTCTTTAGTCCCAAGGTTTATTTTTTAAAAACCTCACAGCTCATGAAACGAGCAACACGTTACAAATATTTTAATTCTGGTTTTTTTCACCACAGCTCTGATTCAAAGGAACCGCCTTAGCTCCACCCCGAACCACCAGTCATCCTYGCAGGTTCAAACAAGCAGCTCCAGACTGGGTCAGAATCGCAGACCCAGAGGTACACGAACCTTTTCAGATTTTAAACCGAAGTAAAACGTTTGACAGTTTTTCATGATTCGGCTTTAATTCTCAGCTCCGTTCGATGAAGACTCTCGTCACGCCTCCTACGACCCTGTTTTTGGAGGTCGGCCCGGCTCTGCAGACTACAGCCACAACACCTCGAGCTCCAACTCACCTGTCGCCTGCAGAGGTGAGTGTGTTTAAATATAAACTGTCTTTTTTTTACCGATCCGTTTGTTTTTAAACCGGTCGGTTCTGTTCTTCTCAGATTCGTCAGCTCGTCAGCCTCGATCAGCCAGCCTCTCCAGTGACGACGTTACAGGTCTCAACCAATCACAGCAGAGCCTGTCGCGTAGCTCCACCCTTCCCTACGACCACGCCCCCCAGAGAGCCCAGCCCCAGCGAGGAGGCGGAGTCAGGGCTAAAACGAGACCATCTTCTCCTGGAAGTGAGATGGTGACGTTGGAGCAGTTTCTACAGGAGAGCAACCTGCAGTCGCCTCCTGTGGTGAGAGAAAACAACAATATAAAATAAAATAAATAAAATAAAATATAAAAAATCATAAAATAAAAATAATAAAATTGTAAAATAAAAATAGTACAATTAAAAATAATAAAAACCATGAACGCAAATTAATTAATCAGGTTTTCTCTGCAGCTCTCTACAGGAAGCACCGATGACTTGATGACTGACTATTTCACACGAAGCCCCGCCCCCTCAGCTCCAGCTGGTAGAGATCAGATCACCCCAACCAGCTACGTCACGCCCACTGTCCACTCGACCAATCAGAGGCCGGGTCAAAGCGTGAAGCCCTCCCCCCGCCAGCCCGTTGGCCAATCGCCCGCCTCCAGCCAGCCTGTCACTCAGAGAACCGGCCAATCCCTGAGCCGGGCCTTTAGCCTGGCTTCTGCTGATCTGCTGCGCTCCAACGGACCCGACAGTTACCGTGGAAACGAGGGGTCTCCCTCTCAAACGGACGGGGTGACTCGGCGACAAGTGGGAGGGGCTAACACCCGCGAGCGACCACTGTCTGCTCGATTTGGAGCATCGGAGGGCAACTTCCTGAGTTCACCCATCCACCAGTCGACGTCCATGAACCTGCAGACCGAGAGACACGCAGAGAGGCTGAGGACCGCCGCCTCCCGGAACGGGCACCGCGGGGAGGTCGCCATGGTGACCCCCGTCAGGGCCACGCCCCCCGAGGAACCCTCACAGCATAGAGATGTCCCCAGAGAGGGTCGGTCAGGAGACCCCTCCCACTCTAATAAAGACAGAGACAGAATCCCGGGCGGATCCCCAGAGAGACCCAAGAGCACGCCGGCTTCACCCGACCCCAACAACGACCCGCAGACGGTGTGGTACGAGTACGGCTGCGTCTAAACGCTGAGGGCTGCGTCTAAAGACTGGAGCAAAGACAAAGGAAAAGACAATGGGTTGTTCCCACGCCTGGGCTTGGTCTAAACCCTGGAGAGTACATAGTTTCTATAACACCGGGGGTTAATCTGTAGCCTGGGCTTGGTCTAAATCCTGGAGAGGATCTGTTTCTGTAAAATCTGACCCGACCCAACACGACACACCTCTCACCTCAACACTACAGGCTCTCTGCAGGTCTACGTTCTGATCCAGCAGAACCACAGAAGAATCTTTAAGACTTGTTTTAACTTCAGTTATAAATTAAACTTTTATTAGATTTTAATCCAGAGCTCAGTCAGTGGCTCGAAGGTTAAACGTGAGGAACTTCAAAGAAAACATGCACGTTTTTGTGCACAAGAACACTAAAACCGGGCCCGTCTACGATCTGGAACCTCAGTGTTTTAAATGCAGTTCTGCGTGCAGACTGAAGGTATCACATTTCTATTATTTTAGTCGGGAACAAACACTGGAAAACCCGCCAGGAGGAGAAAAACAGGAGCGCCTGGAGGAGGTGGTGAGTGGACGGAGGAGGAGGGAGGAGGAGCACCTCCCTGCTAAATTACAGCTCTTCTCTCTCCATCTTTAGCCTCTGTCCCAGCATGCAACACTCTGACACTTTATGGGAAATACTGCTCGAGACGAGCCAACACTAGTCTCACAAATACACACAAACACACAGTGACACACACACTGGCCTCGTCCCTGAGGGAGGTTTTGGTGGCAGCATCACTAACTTAATGAGGGAAACCATGTTGTTTGGGCTGCAGCTCATCCAGGACCGAGAGGAGAGGCTGAAACCCTCGAGCTGTTTCTGACGCAGACACGTTTCAGTTCAACACTTTCAGAGTTAGAAGAACTGTCCAGGATAATTCGAACGAGACAAAATTTTAAACGGTGCTCCAATTTTTTAATTCCACCAAAGAAACAAAACAAAAAAACTCCAGCTTACCGGACCTGCAAAACTGTGACGACTGTACGCTGAAGCTTTAGTTTGATCAGCTGTTCTGCTTTAAAAATATTTTATTTACAGAACAATAATGACAAACAGGAGGTTTGAAAACAGCTGATTTTGAAACAGAATTAAAAACAAAGCAATGAAGACTGGTAAAAATAAATAAAATTAAAACTACAGCATGTTTGTTTACCTATAAACCAGCTGATGAACAATGGCAACACATTGAAAGAAATCCAACAGTTTTAATGTATTTGTACAAATTTACACTCAGATTTTGAGTGAAATATGCAGATTAAATTGCTTTGTTTACACTGAGTGTGTACCTGCATTTCAGAAATGCATATAAAATATAACACCATTAACCGAACGTGTTGATTAAAAAAACAAAAATCAGATTTTTTTTTTTGAACCTTTGCTCCGTCATCTCAGTCTGATCTGACAGCAGCTCAACTTCACTWAAAGAGAAGAGAAGCTGATGAATTATGCAGCAGCTGCGTCGGGTTTCATCGTTCAGCGGTTCAGGTCCGGTTCAGGTCCAGTTCAGGTTCGAAGCTTCACGACCACAAGAACCTGAGGGGGGAAAAAAATATCTGATCCGAAACAGAAGCTTCTGACATTCAGAGTCCAAACATTTCAATTATCTGATCATTTCAGTCTGAAAACCCTCTGGTCAGAAAGAGGAGAGGTTTTCTCACTGGAAACAACCAAAACAGGTTCTGCAGAAGAGTTATTATTAAAACAACGTAAACGTTTGTTTGTTTATTTAAATGGGAGAAAAACAAACATGATGATGATGATGATGCAACACTGGAGGGCTGAAGACGGTCGACTATTTCTGCACATTTTGAACAAAAATCCCGTTGATATGCAACAAGTAAATTATTTTCCTGTAACTTTTGTACATTTTTAGATTTTTTTAAATAACTTTTTGAATGTTAGAACTTTTTTATATTTGTTAAACTCAAAATGTTGATTTCAAAAAACTCCGACATGAATTCCTGTCAGAGCTCTGGCTTCAGKCGTGTTTTTAATGTTTTGTTTTGTTTGAAGGCTTTAATTGTGAAGTTTTGTAGATGATTCTGCAGTTTGGAGTGAAAGAAATCAGAACATTTCTCCGCTCGTCGTGTGTTTCCTGCTCCTCGGCTCGCCGCCGTCTCCTGAACGTTTTCTGTCTGAGTGACAGAGGCGAACGTCACTCAGATTTCTGCTGTAACTGAAACTTCTGCTGCTGTGATGTGAAAACTGCTGAAAAACTGATGAAATTATTGCGCTCGTTCTGCAGAAAATTTAAATAATAAAGATTTATAAACCTAAATTGCTGCTTGAAGCTTAATAATGGATGAAATGTTTCTAATTTATGTGTTCAGAGCTCATTAAGCTGATCAGACCTCTGCAGCTTCRTGAGATATTTTGCTAACAGAAAACCAGAGTGAGAAGAGTTAGAAGCACAAAGGTTAAAAGAAATCTAACCAGCAGAGTTGTAAAGTAACCAAGTACAAACACTTTGTTACTGTACTTAAGTAGAATTTTTGAGTATCTGTATACTTGAGTAATTATTTTTCAGTCTACTTTTTACTTTCTACTTCTTACATTTTTAAAAAAGGCAAGAAGTAGAAAGTCGTTACTTTTATTCCATTTTCATTCCAGCTTGTTATTGTAAAAAATAAATACTAAACATAAACTGTGCCTCCTAGGGCTGTGTATTGGCAAGAATTTGGCGATACGATAAATATAACAGAGGGGTCACGATACGATGTATCCCGATATATTGCGATACTGTAAGCAAGGCAATATATTGTGATATATTGCGATTTTTTTTTGTCCAAAAACTTTATTAAATAAAAACCTCTTACTGAAAAGAAAAGCTAATGTTTACTCACAATGCTAATGCTACCCTTACTCTCTGGCGCTCAAGAGGTAGAGGAGCCAAATGTCTGGCTCACTGCTACCAACTAGTGGTCAGAGGCTGAACTACAACATAAAAATGAACGGTTGGCAAGAAGGTTGACATTTTAAACCTTAATAAAAAAATCGATACAGGGCTTTAGAATATCGATACAGTATCGGGAAATGAAATATGGCGATATTTCAGTGTATCGATATTTTCTTACACCGCTACTAGATAGAGTGAATTTAACTGTGGTTGAATGAGAAGTATAAATATATAAAACTCTGATAGTGTATTAGTTTGTACACAAACTAATGTCACACTCCAGCAGGACATAATCATTAAAATAAAAGGACTGTACTTAATAAGTATTTGTATTTCATGAATTATATTTGGCCGCAGCCCTCAGATAGATTTTCATTTTGGAGAAAAGTTTTGCGCAGCCTTGATATATGTATATAAACTGAAACAGCTGGACTAGTGCATCCTAAATTTAACATAAATTAATTATTTTAATACAATAAAGTCATTTGTACATTTTATTGGGAGGTCACCTCCTAATAAATGTCCTTACAGAAAATCTAACTGCTCATTTTAAATCAATACTTTTAATTAAGTACAAAATATCAGATACTTTAAGGATTTTACTCAAGTAATATTCCTAAAGGAGACTTTAACTTTTATCAAAGTATTTTTTTTTGTTAGATACTTGTACTTTTACTCAATTATCACTTTGTAGTACTTTATACAACACTTAACCAGAGGAGCTGAGGTCACACTTCATCTGAGAGGACAAATAATCTGAGAAACTTTCACAAACGTCATAATCTCAGATTGGAGACTATTTCATCAGAAGAGGGGGTTTATGGAGAGAGAAGAAAGTCTGAATCACTCAGATTCCCCTCAGATCCTCACCAGGTGGAAACTGGTGACATTTTCAGCTCCGAGTCATTTAATCTAAACCAGATTATTCAGATTATCCAAAAACAGCTTCATCTCTTTGAAGCTGGTGTAAAAGGGCGGCGGGCGACATGCATCCCTTCGAGGAGAGACCTGGCGCGGGGCAGAACCGGACGCGCGTGGGGGCGGAGGGGCACAGCCGCAGAGGAGGCGCTCAGTTTGACGCAGCCTGTCGGAGCGGAAAGAGCCGGTAAAGAAAACTCCTCTTCCTCATCTTCATCTCCACTCACTGCTCCGCGGACCCGCGTGGTTCTGCTCCTCAGGAGCTCGTGTCCGGAACCACCCTCCAGGAGACCGCGTGGATTATTGCTCCGGGCAGCTGGAGGAGGAGGAGGAGGAGGAGGAGGAGGAGTCTCCACAAACTGCAGGTCTGAAGTTCTGATTATTGATGAGGGTTCTGCTGCAGGTGCGGGTCCAGCAGCTGCAGCAGAACCTGTGAGGAGCCTGCTGGGATCCGAACCGACACCGGTGCTGCAGAGGAACGTTGTGATGGTGATGTGGACGCATGGAGACATTTATCTGATGCTTTATGTCAGAGATGATTATGTCTTCATCTTAGTTCTGAAGCTTCAGCTCAGTTTACAGATTTACATTTTAAAACGAGTTTAAATAAATTAAAAACAAGTCCAGCAGCTTGTTGAGCCTGTTAGGTTCATGGGTGTGGAGGAATTTTGTCTTCTTGTTGCTTCAGTTCAGTCCGGCTGAGGTTCTGCTTATTTAAAGTGTTTTTAACCTGTTTGTGTTAGCAAAATATCTCATGAGCCACTGAACATGTTTTAATTAAAGTCATCATCATCTCAGAGGTGTAACAACGTACAAATACTTTGGGTATTTATTTTTAGCCAACTTTTTACTTCCACAAAAGAAGTAAAATAAGAATGCACTGTAAAACTGTCCATCTTACCAAGTTTTAAAACCTTATATCAGCCAAAAAGTCTTTTTCATCTTGTTTTGAGACTGATTTACTAAACAAGAAATGATTGTNCTATACTTCTACCTGAGTAATGAATGTGAAAATAAGCCAAATAAAGAACGATGCAGATGGTTTTACAAATACTGAGCTAAAATTTGATGTGGGAGGGGAGACTGGGGACAGTAGCAACACATTTTTTTCTCCAAACAGAAACAAGCTGATGACACACTGTACATGCTCAGTTAGATGGCCCAACGTGCAAAGAAAAAGTAAGCAAATTCAAGAACTGCTCCAGGATTTACTGTTTTTGAGGTACCAAAGTATTTTTATTTTTATTTTTTGCCCAGCATTATTTTTGTTGTACTGTTGTCACTGTTTTAGTGATCCAGCTCAAACTTCTATGGTTTAAACATGTGACATGTTGACTTTAACTAATAAATTTAGCATGTATCCAGATCAGCTTATTTAGCTAACACATGAGGTTTAATCAGGGCTGACTGTTGCAACTGTCCCCGTACAATAAATTAGTATAAAACACTGCAAAAACTGTCCATCTTACCAAGTTTTAAAATCTTATATC